TCATTCAAAACAATACACGTAAAGACTACTTCAAGCCCCAATAGCTACAAACTCAGGTTGCATTAAATGATGCCAATTCGGTGCTATAAGCACTTTGACTTTTAAGACAATACAATTGAAAAAAGCTGGGTTACTTGATCAGTATTTTTAATTTATTTATCTCAAATGCCAGGCTTCGAATAGTTACCATTAGCCCTTTAGCTGGCTTCGGGTTTCACAGAGGGGAGGAGGGGACGGGATAATGATTCACAGATGTAAAGGAGGCAGACAGACAGACGCAAGGGTAGAGAAAAGGTAAGATGAGTACTGTGAAAGGGTCGATTATGACATAGAGTGGGGTCATGGTAGTTTGAAGCGAGAAGTCAACTACCGGTTTGATAGACTTTTGCCGTATGAGTATACGTTGCCCAGGGTGCACCACGAGGAGGTAAGTCTATCGCCCACACTTTATTTATAATTAAATTCTTGCATATTTAATCACATCTAAAAATTCATTAATAAACGTGCAATATATCAGTACCTCTGCTAGACACAAATTTTTCTTTAACTTGAGATTAAAAACGTTTCAAATGCAATTTCCGCAAGTTAATTGCTTTATTATTTTCCAGAAATTCATATTTACCAGTGCTACAATATCAAATGTCTGAATTTCTCGCTAGTTTAATTTGAAAGGTAGGAACTCAGATGGCCTTTGCATTGTCAAAACGGTGTCAAGAAGTTTCTGAAGGTGATTGCAACGACATGGCGGTGTCGACTATTTCGCCCCGTTCACGAGCACATCGCCTTGTACCAACAGAGGAGTACGCATGCGACAACCTACTGCGAAAATTCGAAAGAACTGCTGGAACATTGGCGAGCCTGGAATTATGGGAAGTGTGGAACTCGCAGGGACATGGCATGCACCCTTACCGCAAGACTCAATCCCTCTAGCGAATTCGGAAACGATGGGTCACAAGGTAGAGACCTTCGAGTATCCTAAATTCGGTACGTGTAGATGTTTGGTTTTTTGTTCGATTAAACCGCCTTAACACCCTTCTGCATTCAAAGTGTCACACCTCCATTCATCTCCTCATTTTACGCGAAATAAATGTGGCGAGGGGAAGGAAGTTTTCAGAGCTTAGCAACGTCCTAAACATGGAGACGATTAGAGATTTATGATCAACGAGCGTATTTGGTGAATGCAAAATATTCAATGACACTGAAAAGTCCGATTTTTCCTAGTTGCGCTTTAAAAAGCTACTGCTATTGTGCTGATGATTTCAAATAGTACATCTTTCACATGATGGCAATACTTTCAAAAAAACAACTTCTTAAATCTATTCAATTATTATTTTAAGGGAAGGATGTTAATATCTTTGTGTTATTGTGCACTGAGTAGTGTCTGCATAGGAGAAAAATATCAGATGATTTTCAACAATTGATTTCAGGAGGGGCGGGGTGTGCGATAGACTTACCTCCACGTGGTGAACCCTGGGCAACGTATACTCACACGGCAAAAAAAGTCTATTAACCGGCAGTTGACTTCTGACTTCAAACTAAAATGGCCCGACTGATTGTCATATTTGACCCCTTCCACAATACTCATTTTACCTCTTTCTCTACCTTTGTGTCTATCTGCCTCTTTTACATCTGTGAATCGCTCTTCTGTTCCCCACACCTCGACTTTCTGCTTCTTTGATTAACCTTCCCTCTGTGAAGCCCGAAGTCAGCTAAATGGCTAATAATAGTTATCAAAACACCTGCCATTTTCAACAATTGATTTCAGGAGGGGCTCAAATAGCTAAAAATTGATAATTTCTATGTTTAAAATACAAAAACCTCGGCTTCTGCACATCTCCGTGGAATGACATCGCCATTCAATCCTCTTCCATCGCCCCCCCCCCCATCTTGAACGGTGTCGTGAGATCCAGGCTTGTCACTGCCTCTTAGCTTGCTAATAAATGGTATAACGAATTTTAAATGTCTGGAATTTTGTGGGTTTGAGTGAAAGGCTGGCCACAGTTATTATATTCATAGTTCTATCAAATGGCAGGCGTTTTGATGATTATCATTAGCC